CCTGCACAATGGTCAGAACCAGCAGTCCTGTGCCAGGAACCCTCCACCTTCCAACAGTCTCCTAAATCCATAATTTGTCATTTGGCTCCAGTTTCTCTCCTGCCTGGGCTCTCATCAGTTCTCTCTATGCATTCGTTAGCAGAGGAAATTCAACTCATTTCTTTGTTGTATGCTCCCACTTCTGGAATCCTAATTCACTCAGCTGCCTGCCCCATTAGCTAGTGCTATAGCAGTAATGTAAAATGAAGGTAAAGCATTTCTGTCTGGCATTTCAAGTCAGGCAGCAAGAGGGTTGGGCATTGCCCGATTTAGAAGCAGGCAACTCCTTTTTACCATATCACACTTCAGATACACCACAGCCTTAAATCAAAACAGGCCATATTTTTTGGAATCTCTCCCTAGGCCAGCATCATACGTCGGTGGACTTATTCTTGCTGACTAACCTGCCACGTGTTTTCCCAGCCATAGTCTTTTTTTCTGAAATACTAATTTTTAACAGGTTTCCCTACAGACTAATTTTTTCCGGTACCTATTTTCCCTGAAGGACTAGCATTTTACCTAATACACTGACATACAATCAGCATAACCACTGCAAACAGAACTCTGCAAACACCACTTAAAGCATATTGTGCAAAACCGTAATGTGGTGAAAAAAAAATTCCTTAACAAGTCAGATCACATTCTCTGAATAGCCACATTTTTAGCATAATGTGTGAATAAGGGTATAGATTTATCAAGCAGTTTTAAGTAAACACATTAACGGATAAAGCTTAAGGGAATAGTGATGGCCTTATATTTATAACAGTGATTTTCTTCTGTGAAGAGTTCTAATGTGTTTTTTCATCTTATTTTTGCAAAACCTCCTGTATTATTCATTCCATAGTAAAGCAGAAATGAACACTTCATTACATAATCTTAACTATACTTCCCTTTGCCAATAATATCTAAAGTTCAACACGCTGCAACTATTTGAAAGGCATCAATCATATTTGCAAAACCAATTTATTTTATCAAGCCCAACATTGATAAAACATTGTTTCATCTAACATAAGTGTTAGTCACTTTTTCTACCGAATTTCATGTGCTACAAGAAACACATTGTACTAATCACCTTATAAAAAAAATTTATTGTCAGTTTATAAATATATTAAGCAGGACTATTTCTCATGTAAGGAAACATTCTGGGTTCAAAACCCAAGAAAATTAAGAGGGAACTCTAATAAATTACAGCACAGTAGCCTCCCCCTTCAGAAGTCTGAAGACCATATACCAGCTATTGTCCAAGATCTTCCTTCCTACACCTTAAATACTCAGCTTTCCTCCCACCTATTACACATACAGACTTTGATCACAGCACACATACAGTAAGACAATTTATTAAAAAAATCAGTAGTCATTACGACCAAATTTTATCTCCTAACTCAACAACAAAATCTCAAAGTATAGCTAACCATTAATAACTAGGTAACTGCAGAAAAGACTTGCATGAGCAGTGCCTCACCCTGAGATCTCAGTAGAATGAGCTAAAATACAGCATGTGAAAAGATCCTCTAATTGCCTTCCTCCTATGAAGCCTCTTATTGTTCTTACTTCCATAACTTTTCAGATATTTAAGCTTGTCTAGCCTCCTAGGCCACCTGAATCTTAGTGAGGGTCTCACCACTGCAACCCAACACTTGTTCTTTCCTTGCACTGCTACCAACCACCATGTCTCCCTTGTGTTTACTTCAAAGCACTGCTACGAGAATCATCTTCTAATTCATTGTCAACTTCTTCACACCCGCTCACTAGCCTCCTTATTCTCCTCCAAGTTCTCAAATGTAATCTGTTAGTCCCTCCAATATTTAGCCCTACAGTACCCACCAGATCTCGTTCTTAGCCATCTTTGTTCGTCAATGAAAGCAGCCTCAGCTTATCCCTCCTCAAAACTAGCCTTCTACCATAGTGTGGATAGTAACCCGAGAGGCAAGTACAGGACCAACCGCGATGACTGCTCCTGACTGACCAGGAACCAGCTCATTACTCTCTCCCTCACTCACCAGGTGTCACCCTCCAGTGATACCTTGGTTTTCAGATGCTAAAAACTTCCATTAGGCCTCAGAACACTTTGTGTAACAAGGCCCCAGTTTCGCTGTCCTTGCACTGTTACTACTCCTGTGTAAATGTTAAGCAATGACAGGGCTTGTGAGGTAGTTTCTGGAATACACATCCCAACGTTGCTGAAGTAGTCTCTATTACAGAAGATGAAGATGTGAGAAGTTAACATTTTGAGATCAGGCTTATCATCCCCCGTCAGCAGTATGCAACAGAAGCACATATAGATGTGAGCCCAGTTTATAAAATATCTGATGGCACCATCTCTGAGACTGTGTAAACCAAATGCACAGTAGGTAATGGAAAAAACCTGTTTATACACATGTGCATATACCTATGTATATATGCTTTCCTATTTAGTTAATATTTTATGCATGGTTATGGCTGACCACACTTTTCTTCATACTCTTTGTATCTTGATGTGCACCAGAATCAATCAGCTTCAGTCCCAGCAGTTCTATTAGTTTTTATGTCCTAGCATTTTCTGAAAGTGGCTCCTGGTGGCTTGTATAAATAAAAGCAGCATTTTACAGGAACAACAGATTTATAACTTTAATAAGACTGCCCTCCTTCCTGCATTAAAGTCTACAGTACATGACAAATCAGGTTAAGTAAGCTGGTATCAAATCTGAAGCCAAATACGTTTTTGAGCCTAACCTTAATTCTTCAAGCGCTTCAAGCTTATTTTAAAGATGTTAAATTATTGATAAGGAAAATCAATTCTTTTTCCAGCTCAGGCAATGTCATTCAGTCATGGTATATGCAACAATAGCTAAGGTAGCTTTTCTGTTTTATTAACTTCACTTTAGAATTAAATTACCTACCTTTTCCTCTTTAGAATCCAGATAAACAGTCACTATGGACAGCTTCACAACTTCTATTAACTTCAGATGAGAATAAAAGATTTGTCTGAAAACAGACTGTCAGAAACAGACAAAAAACTTCTGAGATGCCTGCAAACTCCTAAGTTTATTTATTGAACCAGTACTATTTAATCAATATCATTAAACTTAGACACTTGAGCAAATAAACTGCAATGCATTCTGCTCTGAAAATAAACAGTTTCCTCAAAGGATCTGAAATAATAAAACATATTCAATCCAAAGAGGCAACCGAAGAATCACAAACAATCCTGGGAGAAAGTAGGCAGATGGCAAGAACAACTCTGTGAGCAATAACCTTCCAGAAACAAAAAATTTAGAAGTATCTACGTGCATACTTCTGCTTAGACTTGTAGTTCCACGGAATAGCAAGTGATTTCAGTCCCAGTGATTTTATTCATTTTCTATCTCCTAGCATTTCCAGAGGACATCTTGGGCACAACAAAGGATAAGCTGATGTAACTTACTGCAAAAGTATCACAACGATTATAGTACAAGATATATGAAAGAAGGAAGGAGATAAAATGATGTTACCAATCTTTCCTGTTCTAAAGTAGAACAGCAGTAGCGAGTAAGCAATTATTTATGAAGGAGCAACATCACCCTCATGCCGTACCCCAAAAATACCCTAACCATCAGCTTTAGGACTTAATGATGAGGACAAATGGTGAGTTAATGGAGAAGTCTCTTGAGCTTTCCTGTTGAAGATGTCCAGCTTAGTATGTAATATGTAAATATCTGGTGACCTATACAGATAGAGGAAAAACTGATTCTCAGGGTTAGTTAGTTACTATGCTTCTCCCATTGGACACCTCAGCCTATACGCCATTGGATTATTATGCAAAGTAAAACAGTCTTAACAGATAAAAATTAATAGCTGTGTGCACACAACAGAAATATCTTTTTTCCCCTGAACAGCCTACCAGTTAGGACACCCTCCAAGACTTCTGTGCCAAATGCAAAATGTCTGTTCTGTGTTCTCTGCTGAGTGCCCCCAGAACAGAGAAACGGCAGATTCTTTTCTGTAAGTGACGTGAGCCAGCAATGCTGCAGCTCCCAAAATGTTCCCACATGAAACCATTCAGCAAAAAGAATGCTGTTGCAATTAACGACTAAACAAGCCAATGCACACTTTTTGATGAATAAAACGTCTCTACATACACCCTACTCAGTTCTAATATGAAACCCATAATACTGTTAAGTAATAAATACCTGTTTTTCAGTCAGCCCCAATTCAGAAGTGAGATACAATCTATAGCAAATAGCCAGAGAGGAAAACTATTTGGAAAACATACACACACACACACCCCTCAAAATACAGTGGAATTAATGTCTTTGTTTTAAATAACTCTTTCTAAGCTCTGATTTTCATGATACTGATTCTGATCTGAGCAAATGAGACATTTACTGTGGAAGGAAGCTTACCGAAGTGCTTTAGAGAGAGCTCATACGTCTAGGCAAAACACAGCCATTTGCAGAAGGTAAATAACAGATGTTATTTTTCCTTCTCCTTCTTACTTAACCACTATTGCATATGCTGCCTCTCTGCCCACAGAGCCTTACAGATCTGCGCTGCGCCCTGCTCCCTGCCCTCGGGAAGGGTGAAGGAGGACCACCAGCAGCAGCAGCAGCGTGGCTGGTGAGGCCCCGCAGCTCTTCCTCCATCCCTTCACATCCTCCAGCAAGACTCCCAGCCAGCGCAGCGCAGCGCCGCGGGGCCGCGCTTACTGCAGGGAGGCACGGCAGCCCACCGGCATAACACATAAACCGCCCCAACTCGAAGGCGGCCAGGGCACGCAGCTAGCTCCCCACGCCTCCGCGCTCCCCCGGGCGCGCAGGGACAGCGGAGCCCGCGGCGCTCCCCTGCCCACGTCTCGGGGGCCTCCGGGGGCGGAGGAGCCCCCTCCCGGGCCCGCAGGAGCCCCCCCGGGCCCGGCCCGGGCCGGCCCGACCGGCG